TGCGAAATATTTCAGTAGGATATCCTTAGATTGGAGTAGAAATATTTTGAAGTAAGTGATAGTAAAAATATCGATTTTCAGAAAGCTAGGAAATCTTTTGGTATATGATTTTTTTCTTCTTTTAAAATTGTAAATAAAATAATTTATCAGTCGTAAATAAATCACAAAGAAAGTATATGAAATGATTATTTTGGATGATTAACACATTAATATCGGGTTACACGTTTATGTTCGCCCAAACCGTTTCGATTAATAATTGAACAATATGATAAGCCTAGACAATTTGTTCATATTTACTTGCAACACATTGTTATGATATTACATATTTGATTATTTTATACAGTTCTCCGTTGCAGTGATATTTAACCTTCACGACACTCTTCGCATCGTGTATTAAATGTACGATAAAAATATTACAATACTGTTACGTATTCGACGTGTCTCGTGAACGAGCACGAACGTTATGATTAATAGTGTTTGCATGCTGTTATATATTGTAAAATAATTGTATTGTTACAGAAAAATATTTAAATGGACAACTTGTTCTATACTTGTGCGAGTTGCGTCGTGGATAACAATAACGCATTAATTTCAATGCATATATGTAAATATTAAATACGTGCTGTTTACCGTATTCTACGACGTTATATTATTATGTTATGAATAACGCGAATTGATGGGCCCGCGATGTACACGCAGATAATGAGGTATTTTTATTTTCCGGTGATGAAATATTTCCGACGTTTCCGTATATTGTGTCTCAAGAAAATAATATGACGAATAGTATTCATAATATACGAATAATATTATTTATTACGTATCAGTTTTTTCGTATTGCACACGAGCACACCTATTCCATCCGAGCGCGTTCGGGGTCCTTTTTTAATCTAAAATTCTATGCATAGCATTTAAACGTGATTTATTTTAACCGAAACAACAATAATATAATTGCATTTCTCGGTCGAGACAGCGCAATTCACGTGTTTGTCATTTACTCGCTATACAACAAACATTTTAAATCTTTAAATTTACTACTCGAAAGAAAATAGTCAATTTAGGTTAATAATCATTAAATAATGCAGTTATTAGAAATATAATACAGAGGCCAATTTAAATCAATCAATGATTTAAGATCATAATAAAAATACCGTTAGTTTTACAATAATATGGTTTGCATTCCTTATTTTTTTAAATTGAACGCAAAAATTTTTAATTTTTTCATATATACCTTATATAAATAGTATTAATCAATAAGACTTTCGGTACTTAAAATCCTGTGGAAAATGATTTAATTTATTTAGGCGTAAAGTATATAGCATGAAATGCGTCATTCTTGTAGTGGTAAATTTACCTCTATGAATACAACAACCGCGTTTACAACTCGATGCGCATAAAATAGCTATTGTAATGATTTAAATAAGTCTCATTTTGATATATGAATACGAATATTGAATATGAAATATAAATGCCGTAATATTTCTTCGACTTCGATTAATATGATCCATCTCGTAGTGTCTACGTCATCCTATAATAATCTCCATCAGTGTACGAGTAGTATATTGATGTGTATGATTGTATGCAGTGGCGTATTTAGAATGTTGTCAAGGGTAGGGGATATGTATTGGACAATATTTCATAAATCCGAAGAGAGCTTCGTTCTCTCACCCATCACCACGTTTCTCAAAAATGTAGCGATTAATATTATGAGTATTATATTACTCGTATTATTGCATACACAAATGAATTAAACTCATTTTGCCAAACAAATAATAGCGAATAATGAAACAAAATATGTGGCATAAACATCTGTAACCAAAATTTTTACAATATAAAATTATTTTTTATTTTTATATGTATTTTATATATCTTATTATTTTATTTTTCATTCATTGTTATACAAAATCTAATTACCATTTTTAAGATATAGCTCGTCGATGAAACTTTGAATGTTTCGATGACATGGCAATAAAGTCAATTAATTTATTCTAATCTAATGACATAATTTCCATTTCTATAATTTTAGAGTAATTCAATAAAGATAAATATTAGAAAACAATAAAATGTTCACTTCTGTCATACTATTCCTAAAGTACGGCTCAATTATTTTTAAAGGAGAAAATGATCTTTCTGAAGTTGCAGTAGACACTGGTAATGCGCAGAATATTTTGAAAAGCTTGCACTGAGATAAAATTCTTTATCACAAGTATCTAAAGCATATAGTCCTAAAAGGAGAGTTATTTCGTCCGTAATTATTGTATATCTCTATAAGTTAAATTATGCAATGTTAACATGTAGATTAATCATGGGCGAATAAAACTCAAACAGTTTTTTAAACGTTTCTCTTTTTTGATCTTTCACCAATAATAATTATTTTTAAAAATACAATTAATTCCTAAATAAATAAAAGTAAAGCATGTAATTTTATTCTTAGAAAGTTGCATCATTTATTACCTTCAAATATTGTTTTTATAATATTATATGTTTTTATAATATAATATGTTTTTTAATATTCTCTTTTAACAATAACCTTCCTCCTACGTCTTCTTCCTTTACAGCTGAGTGTTATGCCATCACCGAAGCCCTAAAACTTATTCAAAATTTTCCCCCCAACAATTATTTAATTGTCTCAGATTCTATGTCGTGCCTCCAAGCCTTAAATTCAAACCCATTTAACTCTCACCTGTCTCCACTTATTCTTCGCATCAAGTCCCTTATTTTTACATTAAATCAAACTAACTATAACATCCACTTTCTTTGGGTTCCTAGTCATACAGGCATACATGGTAATGAAGTTGCAGACCACCTTGCTAAATCTTCATCCAATCTCATCTTTCCTTCTATTTCTCAACTCCCCCATTCTGACTTCACATCGCTTATAAAACAATACTCTACTAATATTTGGTTCTCTCTCTGGAACAATCTACCTGCCGAATTCGCCTCAAGATACAGAAATATTACACCAAATATCCTAAAAAAAACCTGGTTCAATAACTTATACTTACATAGACCATATATAGTACAATTTAATAGGCTACGCATAGGACATCACCTTCTTCCTAGTCACTCCTTCAAACTTGGCCTTAATGATTCTCCATTCTGTACTCTTCACTTAAATGAATGCATTTGTGACTTATCCCATATTCTACTCGACTGCCCTGCACTTCAACTCAATCGCATTATTTTAATTAATGAACTTAAGACTCTTAATATCCCCTTAAATATCCACTCCATACTTAACACAAAATCCACTACCGCCATCAAATTAATAATTTCCTTTATATTGGATGCTGGCTTCATTATTTAATATGTACACTAATGTTTAATGTATAATATTGTTTTATTTATAATATCTGTAAATGTCGAGCTATCATAGTTGTATACTAAAAGCTAATAAAAAAAAAAAAAAAAAAAATAAAAATATTGTTTTTTTTTATGATAAATCGTTCACTCAATTGTATTCGATAAAAATCAATGTATGGTATAAATATTGTGGCACAATAGTAATGTTCAATAGAAGAATCCTGAATATTTGGATTGGCCCCATGGATTTGTTTAGAAGTGATCTGTTTAATTTACTTTAGTTTTTACGTTATATGCAACTATTTAAATTATTTGAAAATAAATACCACACTTGTGATTTTAAATAAAATTACTCGGTAAACAATTTTTTACTTTATTATTATAATTTACTCGTATATCTCTAAATTCCATTTTTTTTTCTCTGGCTTAATATAAACCATTCTGGTCTTTTGCCGCAACCACCACTTCCCTCCATCTGTCTCAATCCGTGGCTAGTTCTTCACTATTCAGGATTCCCAGCATATTCAAGTCTTTATGGACCCTGTCTATACATCTTTGTTTTGGACGGCCGAGTGGTCTTTTACTCTTAGGCTTCCAGCAGGTGACCTGGCCGATTGTCTGTTCTCGAACTCGCTATACATGCTCTGCCCAGCTTATCCTTTTGCTTTTCATAATAGCAATTATATCTGAATCTTCTAACATGCTTATTACCTCTTTATTCTTTCTTCACTCATATTCTCCTGTGTTTTAGTTTATTTTGGGGCCAAAAATTTGTCGTAACATCTTTTTTTCAAATCTTGCTAGGTTTTGCTCATCTGTTTTCGTTGTGGCCTAAGTTTCATACGCATATATCGCTATCGGGCGTATCATTACTTTGTATAAAGTTAGTTTAGATTTGATTAAAACTAATTTAGATTTTAATATTGTCTTTAATCTGAAGAAGCACTTGTTAGCTGAGTTTATTCTATTTTGTATTTCCTAGTGGTTATTGCCCGACACGCTCAATTCCACCCCTAGATATTTAAAGTTTTCAATCAACTCGAACTCCATATCTCTTACTATCAAATTATTGTGTCTATTATTTTTCCGTGACAATATCATGTACTTTGTTTTTCTTCATTTATAGTTAAGCCCATTTGTTTACTTTCATTTATAAGAGATTCTGTCATACCCTGAAGGTCGCTTTCAGATTCGAACAGTAATACTATGTCATCAGCGTATGCTATTAGTTTGATAGTCTTAGATTTTTGTAGTTTAATTCCTATACCAGAATTTAATACATTTCTAACCACTTCCTCCACCGCAATGTTGAAGTGCATCTCTTTGTTTCAGTCCTGTATTGATCATGAATGCTTTCGATAGATGGTCATTAAATTTGACCATACTTTTAGAGAATTGAGCACATGCTCTTACATTCTTGTGATTTTTGTTGGTGTCCCAAGCTTTTCCGAGGTTTTCCATAGACTTTCCCAATTGAGTCATATGCCTGTTTATAATCTTCAAATAGCATGAATAGTTCCTGGTTTTATTCTTAACATGTTTTCATTATTTGTTTGACAATATGTATTTGATCTACCGTTGATTTTCACCTTCTGAAGCCACCTTGGTACTCCCCGACTATTTCATCTCCATATGGTTTGAGTTTATTAAGGAGTACATTTGATAGAACTTTGTATGATGTATCTAGTAAGAAGATGCCTCTATAATTGTTGCAATTCATAATATCCCCTTTTTTGTATATAGAGTATAGGATCAACAAATTCCAGGCTTCTGGTATTTCTTCTTCCCTCCATGCTTTTATAATAATTTGTTCTAGCTTTTTTATTACAGTTTTCCCACTCTATCTTAGTAACTCTGTTATTATATTTTTCTGGTGCTTTACCATTTTTTAGATTTCTATTTATTGTTTCTATGTAATTCTGTAGGTTTGTGTTTTCTTTTAATTTTTTAACGTTGAACTTCTGGGTAACTCTTTTCTTTTCTCTCCACTTTACCGACAATCTGAGGTGTACTTGATTTCGTATTAGTAAATGGTCTGATATCCCGTAGACGTCTCTACAGCTTTTTACATTTGTTATACAGTGTTTTCTTCTAGATTCAATCATGATGTGATCAATTTGATTTTTAGTTGTTCCACTGGGGGACATCCATGTCTGTTTATGGATTTGTTTATGCGGGAAAAACGTACTGCTTATGGCCATCCCCTTGGATGTTGCAAAATATATTACTCTAACTCCGTTGTCGTTCGAGTTATTATGGAGGCTTTGTTGTCCTATCGTCGGTCTATAACATATTTCTTTCCCAATTTTTACAATAAAGTCCCCTAATACGACTTTGACCAAATTTTGAGGTTTTGTGTCATATAGTGCTTCTAGTTGTTTATAGAAATCATTTTTTGTCTTTTCGTCTTCGTCCTCTGTTGGAGCATAGCAATTAATCAGTATTATATTGAACCATTTAGCTTGAATTTTCAAGAGACATAGCCTATCATTAATTGGTTCAAATCGCTTAATGTTGTTAAGTATTCTGTCACTAACTAAGAAATCAACTCCCCTTATGTGTCCTAATCCTCCGCTGTAGAATAATGTTGCTTTCTCTGTTTTGTGGTTGCCAGATCCGGGCCATCTAGTTTCTTGAATTGCTAATATAGCCAGTTCGTATTTGTCAATTTCAGATACTACTGTTATTAGTGTTTCAGTCCTGTATAAAGAGCGCATGTTCCATGTTCCAATCTTTAAGTCCTGTATCTCCATATTTTTCCGAGGCTTTTGCGTTGGTTGTTTCTTAACAATGTTTTTTTTTCCGAGGATGGGTTGTTAGCCCATCGCTCAACCCCCAACTTGGAGAACCATACCCACCCAGTCAGTTAAGGTAAAGGGGGGGGGGGCTATTGCAGTGCAATTAGCACTGAGCTATGGGATCAACAATTTCCCTGCGCCTCAGCTTGGGGTCCCGGGTTCGCTAAATTCGTAATATTGGGTGTCAAGTGACACGCAGTGTGCACCTAGGGTTTCTTTAAATTCCAGTTCATAATTTTTTCTATTAGCCTTTAAAATCATCTCTACGTTTGTAACTAGTTTAATTTAAATCAATTTATATTTTCTGTAATTGATAACACAGTGGAAGATAGTACGAAAGTAGAAACTGAAAAATTAAAAACAACTTTCACATATAAAAAAAAATTAAGTTCTAAATATAATATTAAAAAAAAAAGAATTGGCTTAACATGATATATTTCTAATGTGCCATATCAAGCAACTTAAAATCATAGTTATATTTATAACTTTACAATATAGATACAAAGAAATTAAAAATATTATTAACTTTATCGTTGCATACGCGTTCACCAGCAAAGTGTGTTAAAAATAAGAAGCGTTCAAACGTCGAATTCTTACTGAGGTATTTATAGGTACTTTATTAGATTGTCTCGGTAAAGATCTTATTACCTGGATTAAATAGAAAATAAAGGCTTAAGGATCTATCCTCATACCCCTCTCCCATAAATACGTTAGTGATTGTATATTATAGGAAAAACGGTTTTTAGAATTTCTCATTTCGTTTACTACATTAACGGTTGGAATCGGAATAATATCGTAACGCCTGTACAAATCAGAGCTCCCGCGTGGATCAGGTTAGTTTCAAACATTTCGTATCTCTGAACGATTAAGTATTCCGTTGCTAATGAAATATTTGTATATCGGCTATATAAACGTATAATAAACTCAGTACGAGTTCTATTGTTATGATTCAATGATACTTGTTATCAGTCTTGTCGTGTTGACAATATTTTTTCTACGGTATAGACCAACGATGACCGTATAAGGCGCAGTGGTATGTGCGCGTACACGATACACTATACGTATATATGGTGTATATAAATATATTTATTTATATGTATTATTATATTAACTTCCGCGGCGGCCTAAAACCATAACGTTGTCGCGTTGTCCGCCCCCGATAGGATATGTTTATATCGTGTTCTCGTGTTATAATAATAATAATAATAATAATAATAATAGTAATATTATGAAGGCAACAACGGTGGCGACACGAATTTTCGATATACGGTGATATACGTGCGTTGTCGCGTGGGACGCGTCCGGTGAGTGAGTTGTGGACCAATTTGTAGACAATTATATTATAGAAAATATATAAGACACACACATACATACATATATTATATAACACACAGACATGCACGTATATGCAGTGAAACCTGTCTTAGTTTGAAATTTGATTTTATCCGTTCATAAATTATGTTCTGATTATGTACCGGATAAGCCGGAAACTCGTGTGAAAAGTAATATTTCTCTGGTCACATGGGATTCCGCCTTGGACAGTTTTCATTACAATATGTACTTTGATAGTATTATGTGCAAACATTGAACAATAATTTATCCTTCTTGCTGGAAAATCTAATGCACTACATACTTAATCAATATAGTTAACAACTAGGCATTAATTAAACTAATAATACAACCAATAATAACAATTAATTAATTCCGTATAGGTACTTAAAAAAAAAAAAATTATTACTATTATATCAAATGATGTAATCCTGCAATCCTGAATTCGTATTTCATATGCGTCGAATAATTTTTAAATGAAAAAATACGACACAAACATAATATTTCTTGTTGGGTTAATGAGAACTAGTTTTGCCATCATAATTTTTTTTACGTTTAAACTTACCCCTGCTTAAATAACTTATAAAACTACGTTTTGTAATTATTAGGTACAACAGTCATCACTTATTGAACTCGCTTTGGGACTAGAATATTTGTATTATTTCCGCTTAACTTACATACATTATGATCACGGTATACATTTAATAATATTATATATTACTATTATGATAGTATTATTCAGCTGCATGTCCCCAGCCCCCCCACCTCGGACTTTCGACTTCAAATTTTTACAGTCTTTTGTGCTTCGTTTGTGCTTGTTTGTGTTTTTATTCCTGTCGTTTGTGCTCAACCCGTTTCCGAGTTATTGAACTTTCAAGGTGGGGGGGCTAGGGACATGCTCAGCCCCCCCACCTCGGACTTTCGAGTTCAAATTTTTACAGTCGTTTATACTTGTTTTTGCTTTTATTCCCGTCGTTTGTGCTTAACCCATTTCTGAGATGTTAAACATTGAAGGAGGGAGGGGCCTAAAGACATGCTTAATAAATTCAAAATATATTTAAACACACTTTTTGTGTATATTGTTTTATCAACACATTTTATAAAGTAAACTTAGTATATGTAAGTAACCAATTTTTTATTTATTATCGACCTGTTCGTTTATTCCAAGTTTGTGCAGATTTGTGATCAAATTTCGACAGAAAATTCTGATTTACTTGGGTTTTTTTTTTTCATACTTTAAGTAATGACCAACATATTTTTTTTAAAAATGAATTTGCATACAAAATAATAAGACCTTTTCTCTTTGTTTATATTTGAGAAAACCAAAACAATACGTTCATTATTGAAGGATATCTATTTTCCAATTTATAAATGCCAATCACCTTTTTTAAATTAAATAACATTCAAACAATTATTATTATATCATTAGCTTTTTACACAGCATATATTTATATAATAAAATATTTTTCACATGACAAATTTTCTTAGGTAAACATTTAATAAAAATGTAATCATTTATTGATTTCTTGAAATATAAAGTAATTCTACAATAAATATGAAAGTATATATATGTAACATTTTATAAAAGTTTTAAATTAAAATTACAAAAAATATTTTACTAATAATAACAAATTTGATATAAGTATAAGAACATTTTAACATTAATTACAAACATTTAAAAAAAAAACAGATATTATAATAGTTATTTACGTAAAAATTAAAACGTATGAACATTTTAATTAAAAAATAAATGACACATTACAGTTTTTAAGTTTTTGAATAAAATTTTAAATTAAAACATAAATTAATTATTTAAAATACATTATTTAAAATGCTTTTTGACTTATTCAAATTAAACAAATATACTAACATTAGTAACCTAATACTTTTTTATTTAGTGTACAGTATGAATTGACAGTTAACATTTGTGGATGCTCTTACGTATCGTGTGGAATGCAGTTGGTCATCACATCGTTCCCATGTAATATTAGTTTCCCTCCAATTGTATGATACATAATGCCCAATTGCATTAATTTTTTTGGATTTTGGTATTATGAAATTAATAATACCTCTGAGTGTGAATTTGTTATGTAGCACATTTATTGTTGTTGGAATGTCACTCAAAACGACAGTTAATTCAAAGTCTAATTTTTTTTCCCAACTCAAGACTTTGGAAAACAGGTTCAATGAAAAAATGTTTTCCAAATGTAAAATTTGTTTTAAATTTTGTACATGGTCCGCAACGTGCCAAAAACCATTTTTGACCACGGGATGGTGAAGATAATATAGTAAAGGAACTATTGCTATTACTGATTCATTCATCCTCACGACATTAACAGATTTTGTTATAGAATTAATAAACTTGTATTAACGTTTTATTGATATTTTGTATCTACTAAAAGCAAACCGAAGGTGGTTTGCGTACTTATGCAATTTCATCAACCATGTGTTATTTACTATTATAAATTATAACTTTTAACTTTTTGCTAAATAGACACCAGTCTTGTAAAGTATTCGAATACTTTTTGAAGTATTTATATGCTATTCTGAATACAATTTTTTTTTTTTTATTTTTTAAGTATTTTGATTATTTCTTAATTGTATTTTTACTAAAATTTAAATACTTGTATTAAAATATCATAAAGTATTTTGTTAATTTTAATTTATTATTTAAAAAAAAAATCGATTTTGTTGAAAACTAATATTATGTTTTTGTATAGTAAAAGTAGGTAGGTAATAGCAATGTTACCACACTAAATACCACATTACATTTTATATAGTTTCTGTTTTGGAATTTTTTAAGAAAACTGAAAATCTAATAAATTTAAAATAGTTCCAAATTAATAGTAATATTACCAATTTTTATTATATTTTTTTCATTGAAATTTAATCATTATTAGTTAAATTATATGTGAATGCAGAATGAAATATGTGAACATGTATTTATCTCTAAATAGTCAGACATGTTATAATAATTGTTAAGATTCATGGAAAGTAGTAACATAATAGTTACCTATACTGGTGTACAATACATATATATATAATATAGCATAAAATTAAAAAAAATACTAGGATTTGTATTCAAATACTTTGTAAGTATTCATAAAATACATTTTTATAATAGTATTTTAAAAGTATTTTTAATACTTTTTTATTCGAATACTATTATTAGTATCTTAATACTTTTTCAAAAGTATTGTTTATAAACTGTGTTTACGGTTAGACACGTAGGTATGCATAAGTTTCAGTGCGAATTCGCAGTAGCCTACCAGATCTAAAATTCCGTGGCCGGATAAAATGGTCGCTTAAACGTCAATCCAAATTTAAAAATGACAAAATAAAAAAGGTTTCATACAATTTTAAAAACGTGTTATGATATTATCATAGAAGTTTTTTCAAAATGAAAATTCATCAATAATTATTATATCACTTCGGGGTTTTGGTGAGAAGAGCTCTTATTGTTTTAAAATACACGTAAAAATATCAAATATTTAAATTTTTGTACGCAAATTAATTAAAAAAAAAAAAATAAAGTGGGTCATTATAAAAAAAATCCCAAGTAAATCAGAATTTTCTACTGAAGTTTGATCACAAATCTGCACAAACGTGGAATAAACGAACAGA